AGGATGGTGGGGCAGTCAAAGTCACGTGGGTTTTCAGTCAACAGTGGGACCTACGTTTCTATTACTCAATTTAATTTGATTGCCAATTATTTTTATATATTGGTGTAAAATATGTCTTAAGAATAATGTTGTGAAATCCGTTTTGTACCGGTCTGTATAGTTGTCACGTACCGATTTTTAAATTAAACTAAAACGATATAGAGTAATGATCTGTGAGATGATTTTAGGAGAAGATTCTGCGAGATGATAAGTGAAAGTAAGATTAAATTGATAATTGTTGTTGGGATTGTTTCACGTCATCCCGTAAAATCGTCTTCAAAATCGTCTTACAAATTATTACTCAATAATATAAGGTTTAAAGTCATTTCGATCAAATTTCGGTGCACTGACCGGTATTACGCGTCCCAGCCGGTACACGGAAATTACACGGGACAATTCAAATCGTGTAAAAAGAAAAGGTAAAAAAGGCAAATCAGCCCATGTACTCAGTGAATGGTGGTAAATCAACCCTTGTACTCAGTGAATGATGGCAAATCAGCCCCTCAACTAAAAACAAACACAAATCAGCCCCCCAACATGTATGACAATAAGGTGGCATTTTTTATCCTACATCAGTGTTGGTACTAATTAGTAATTTATATTAAGATTTTTTTTTAAAGTGTATTTTTTAAATTATTTTTATTATTAATTTATATAAAAATTATAAAAATAAATTTTATTTTTAATATCAAATTACGTAAAATACTTTAATTAGATAGTTAATAAAATTAAAATAACTTTTTATATAATAATTACAATATATGTCTTACACATCATTACTTAAATTTATTAAATTTACAAAAATTACTTTAAAAAATAAAACTTATCACCATCTAAAATTGCCAAAACAATAATTATTACAACATAAAAAATATTATTATATTGATAGTTTAGTGCATTGTATTCGCATAAGTTCTTTTTCTCAATTCTTTACCTAAAATAAATCTAAGGAAAATAAATTACTATATACTCATAAGAAATTAGTGTAAATTTATAATTATTATCTACTTTAATTATTTAATCTTTATGTTTAATTTTAGTAAATCTAATTTTTTATTTAATAAAATAAAAATGTAATAATTAATTGATAAATTTTAATATTTATTTTTAATTAATAATTATTTTAATAAGTCTTTTTATTGAATATATGTTGTAATTATCTTTTTAAAATAAAAATAAAGTATAAAAAAATGAATTATATAGCATTTTAAGATAAACAAGTAAATTTAAA